TATATGATGTCCTAGAAAAGAATTAGGGACATTTTATTTGCATGTGTGGGTGTGTGATAATCTTTATAAATGTCGAAACTTAATTTGAACCTGAATAAATGAAATTGAAAGAAATGAACATGATTATTCCTATGTTTATTATTACCTTGTCTCTCTATAGCATCGTGGAAAATGCAAGAAGTAATGATACAAGTGAATCCTCGGAGACTCGCATGAGTCGTATGGAACAAATGCTTGCAACCCTGACAGAAGCAGTGATGCACCAACAGAGACAACAACCTTTGCCCTCATCGCCTCCACTAGCACAAAATGAGCCAGACAACAGTGATATAATCAACTTGACTCAGCAATTCATGAAGATGAAACCGCCAACATTCTTGGGAGGTATTGAACCATTAAAGGCTGAAACATAGTTATTGGAAATGGAGAAATTATTCGAAGTGTTTCCCTGTTCTGAGAATCAGAAAATTCTTTTGGCCACCTACACTCTGAAAGATGAAGCCCAGAGATGGTGATTATTGATCCGAAATAGTAATGAAAATATGACATGGGCTCAATTTAATGCGATCCTCTATGACAAGTACTTTCCTTAAGGGTTGTTTGGGGTGTTCTAAATAAGTGCACTTTTTGGACTAAAACGTTGAGGAAGAAAATATGGTTGTTTGGGTTAACTTTTTGATTTTTTATGAAAAAATGTGTATTAAAAAATTGTATAAATTAGTGTGTAGGAGAAGATAAGGACAGTAGGCAGTATGGCCGTCCGTCTGGGCAAAGTGAATTGATGATAAGAAATGGTTGCCTACTTTTCGGGCATTGCATTAGACGGTGCTGTTTGGCCCGTGGGGGCCCTCACGGGTCCCGTTTTGATAATCCTGAACCGTGCAATGTGTAAAACTCGTCGAGTATTATATGCCTGTAAAAACTCACGTTGATCGGATATTGATAGCCATCGGATTAGTTTTTTTTTAACCGTTAACTATAACACCATCCATTTTTTTATACAAAACTGATTTGATTATGCAGTTAGCGATATCCGATCAACGTGATTTTTTACAAACATATAGTACTTAACGAGTTCTATACATTGAACGGTTCAGATTATCAAAACAGGACCCGTGATGGCCCCCACGGGCCGAACAATACCGTATTATTTGTGCACCCCGCCTATGCAATTTTTTCAAAAAATTCAGCTCTGTGTCTGTGGGATGTCAGAGTTGTTTGTAATAATTTTATGTAAAGTTAATTTTTTTATTTTTTTTTGGTGAATAGTGATAACTTTTTAACTTTTTTAATAACTTTTTAACTTTTTAGATTTTTTTGAGTATCCCAAACCAGGCCTTAGTGCTTTCGAGACTGAAAGGTTTCAGAATTTCATGAACTCAAGCAAGGCAACATGTCTATAACCGAGTACGAGGCTTAATTCACTAAACTAGCTCGGTTTGCTCCTTATATGATGGATACGGACTACAAGAAAGGTCAAAAATTTAATGGTGGATTGGATTTAAATATATTTGATTGGGTAGGTGTCCTCAAACTACCTACGTATATGGAAGTGCTCGATAGGGCATTGATGGTAAAGGCCATTCTGGCAGTAAAGAAACAAGCTCTAGCACCAACAACAGAATGGAAGGGTAAACGATCTGAATTCAATTTCAAAAGGGGCTGTTCATTTTTGAAAAGGCAGAATACTGGGTCCTCTAGTAGCTCTAGCCAGAGTAGTGGCTCTATTCCAAACTATCCTGATTGTGGAAGGAAGCATAAAGGCACGTGTTACCGTAACTCAGGTGCGTGTTTTCAGTGTGGCAAGACTGGCCACATGATTAGAGATTGTCCACTAAGATTACACAATGCTAACCGTCCTGCAGCAAGTTCAGCCGAATCCACTCCTATAACGAGGACCAATATGAGAACTAATACCAGGAGTAATACCAGGAATGAGACACTAAGGCAAAGGAGAGTGTTTGCACTAGTGCCTGGAGATGTACAAAACACCGAATCTGTGGTGTCATGTATAATTTCCATCTATTCTCAAAATGCGTATGTCTTGATAGATTCCGATTCCACACACTCTTTTGTGTCGCATGCTTTTTCACAAAAAATTGACTCGACCATTAGAACCTATGAATTGTTTACTCTCTATGTCTGTACTATCTGAAGGTTCTATGATATGTGCTTATGTATATCTGACATGTGACATTATAATTAGTGATATGATATTGTACGTTGATTTGTTGCCTTTGAATATTGATCATTTTGATTATATATTGGGCATGGATTGGTTGACGAACTATTGTGGCACTATTGATTGTGTGAATAAAACCGTCAAGTTTAGACCACCTGGTTTGCCTGAGTTTGTTTTTACTGGAAATGGGGTGGTTCCTCCGCCATACTTGATTTCATTCATAAAAGTCAAGAAATTGTTAAGAAAAGGATGTCGGGGCTACTTGTGTTGTGTGTTGACTGAGTTTTCGGATAGTGCTAATGTGGAAACAATTCCTGTAGTTTGTGAATTTTCTAATGTATTTCCTACTGACCTACCTGGGGAGTTAATTGATAGGGAAATTGAGTTTACTATTGATGTAAAACCCGGGATACAACCAATTTCTAAGACCCCTTATAGAATGTCAACTTCTGAACTGAAAGAACTAAAAGCCCAATTCTAAGAACTGTTAGACAAGAAATTTATCTGATCAAACATTTCACTTTGAGATGCTCCAGTCCTATTTGTTAAAAAGAAAGACGAGTCTTTGAGACTGTGTATTGACTACCGTGAGTTGAACAAAGTAACTATGAAGAACAAATATCCATTACCTCGAATAGATGATCTATTTGACCAACTCCATGGAGCACAAGTGTTCTCCAAGGTAGACCTTAGATCCGGGTATCACCAATTAAAGGTCAAGGCAGAAGATGTAGAGAAAACTGCACTCAGAACTAAATACGAACACTATGAATTTTTGGTAATGCCATTCGAAGTAACTAATGCACCCGCGGCATGCATGGACTTAATGAATAGAGTGTTCAAACAATTCCTTGATGAGTTTATTGTTGTGTTCATCGATGATATATTGATTTATTCTAAAAGTAGGGAGGAATATGAAAATCATTTGAGAATTGCTTTACAAATCCTAAGGAAAAAGAATTTGTATGCAAAATTTTCCAAATGTAAATTTTGGCTTGACAGTGTGGCATTTCTAGGGCATGTAATCAACAAGGATGGTATCTCTGTAGACCCACAGAAAATTGAAGTTATTGTGGATTGGCCTAGATCGGCAACTGTGTTAGAAGTTAGAAGTTTTCTGGGACTTGCTGGCTACTACAGAAGATTTGGGAAATATTTCTCGAAACTTGCTATGCCATTGACACAATTGACATAGAAAAATGTACCATTTGACTGGAATGAGTAACGAGAGTTAGCTTTCTAAGCATTGAAAACTAGACTAGTAACTGCACCAATTTTGGCCTTGCCTAACAGAACTGATGGGTTTCAAATTTACAATGATGCCTCCTATAAAGGTTTGGGTTGTGTGTTGATACAAAATGGGAAGGTAATTGCCTACGCCTCTCGGCAACTTCGTCCTCATGAAAAGAATTACCTGACTCACGATCTTGAACTAGCAGCAATGGTGTTTACTTTGAAAATTTGGCATCATTATTTGTATGGAGTAACTTGTGAGGTATATACAGATTATAAAAGCTTAAAATATTTCTTCACCCAAAAAGAACAGAACATGAGACAGAGGCGATGGCTCAAACTAATTAAAGACTATGATTTGCAAATTCTATACCATTCGAGAAAAGCAAATACAGTGGCACACGCTTTGAGCTGGAAATCAGTTGGAACCTTGTCATGTTTGCTTACTTATCAGAAAGAATTAATAGCCGACTTGGAGAAGAATGAAATTAAGATAGCCCTCCGTGAACAAGGCGGGATTCTAGCCGCCATCTCTACCAAGCTTGCTATCATAGGAGAAATTAGAGAGAAACAACATGAAGATGAGTTTTTGAAGAAAATTATTGATGAGATTGACTCAAAACCAAGGCTGGGATTTGTGTTTGAGAATAATGTGTTTAAATTTCAGAATAGACTTTGTGTACTAGATTGTTCTGACTTAAGGAAACATGTTATGACCGAAGCATGCAATTCTGAATTTGCTATGCATATGGGAAATATGAAGTTGTACTATGATTTCACACAGAATTTCTAGTGGCTTGGAATGAAGAAAAGCATTGCTGCCTTTGTGGCTAAATGGTTACACTGCCAACAAGTTAAAGCTAAACATCAACGACCTGCTAGATTACTTCAGCCGCTTCCAATACCAAAATGGAAGTGTGGGCATATTACTATAGATTTCATTGTCGGACTGCCTCATTCTTCTCGAGGTATGGATTCTATTTGGGTCATTATTGATCATTTAACTAAATCTGCTCACTTTTTGCCTGTCAAATCTTTGTATAATGCGGATAAGTTGGCTAATTTGTATGTCAATGAGATTATGAAATTGCATGGAGTTCCAGTGTCCATAGTATCTGACAGAGATCCCAAGTTTACTTCGAGATTCTGGCAGAGTTTGTAACAAGCTTTGGGGACTGAACTGAGATTAAGCAGTGCTTATCACCCACAGACAGATGACCAATCTGAATGGACCATTCAAACATTGGAGGACATGTTACGGATGTGTGTGTTGGACTTTCAAGGCAATTGGGAGACCTACTTACCACTGGCCAAATTTGTGTATAATAATAGTTACCATTCGAGTATTGGGATGGCCCCTTATGAAGCTTTGTACGGTAAAAAATGCCATTCTCCGATCTATTGGGCTGAAATAGGTGACAGACCTTTGTTGGGACTGGAACTTGTCCAAGAAACAACGGAAAATGTGAAATTCATTCAACAAAGATTGAAAACTGCACAAAGCTGTCAAAAGAGTTATGCGGATGTCCGAAGAAGAAATAGGGAATATGAAGTCGGGGATCACGTGTTTATCAAAGTAACATCGATGAAAGGCCAAGCGCGATTCAGAGTGAAAGGCAAATTGCCATCGAGATATGTTGGACCATACGAAGTCCTTGAGAAGATCAATCCAGTAATGTATCGTGTAGCCTTACCGCCGGTCATGGAACATATGCATAATGTTTTCCACATCTCCATGCTTCGAGACTATCTACAAGATCCGTTACGTGTCATTGAACCGACACATGTGCTTTTGAAAGATGACTATACCTATGAGGAGAGGCCAATTCAGATTGTGAATCGAATAGTCAAAAGATTAAGAAACAAGGAGATTTCATTAGTAAAAGTGGATTGGCAGAACCATAGAGGAACTTATGCAACCTGGGAGACGGAGGAAGATATGATGCAAAGATATCCTGATCTGTTTCCTTTGGACTCAGTATTCTTCCAAAATGAACGTAAATCAAGTTTGGAGGACCAAACTCTTTAAAGAGGGACCCCAACCTATGATTAACTGCTAAACCATGATTAGCCATAAGTAATTATGCTTAATGAGTAATTAGGACGAAATTCTGAATTAATTGCGCGTGTGTTGCATTTTTTGTGTTTCTATCGGGTTATGGTAGGAATATCTGTCTGTATTTCTATTTTTTTTTTTTTCCAATTGAAGGCCTTATTGGTATCCGATTGCGAAATTGACTTCATATATGTGTTATTTGAAATTTTTGAGAAATTATGGTAGGTTTAATTGAAATTTAATTCGAAATGAATTAATTAGAATTCAATCATGTGGATTAGTGAACTTAAGCCTAGCTTAATTAGATGCCACTAACCAAACCTATGTAAGGCTTATTTGACTCAACACACACAAGTTACACACTCTCATCCCTTCATATTTGAGCTCATAAACGTAGAGAGAGAGAGAGAGAGAGAGAGAGAGAGAGAGACTTAGGAAATTAAGTTCAAACACTTGGACGTTGTAGAGACTTGGAAGAGTTGGCCTAACGACTCAACAATTAGCTAACTAGAGCTCAAATAGACATCTAAGGTATGAAATCAAGCTTCTAACTTTGAAATTTAGTTGGTTAATGCATGGAATCAAGTGAGATGGGTGAATTAAATTGAGAATTAAGCTAGAATTGGATAAATGAACTCAAACCATGCATGCATGCATATTTTATAGCATTTTGAAGTTGTTTTCCCAAGAATTTCCTCATGCATGTTACTAATTTACCTTAGTTTTAGGAATTCATCTAGTTTCATGTCATTTTGTGTCATTAGATCATGTTTTGGATGTTTTGAAGTCATGGCAATACATGCATGTTATGTTTTCTAAGAATTAAGTTTTGTTTTGCACAATGGCAAGTTTTAGGCTTTGATTTTGTGAAATGATTTAGAATTCCCAATGTTTTTCAAGTTCACTTATGATTCCTTAAGTGTTTGGCCCAAAAGGATGAGTTTTGGAGCATTTGATTTGAGTTTGGAAGCTTGGAGATGAATATGGAAATTCTAGAATTCGACCTCTCTGCTCGAGCGTTAGATCCTGCGCTCAAACGGCTACCTTTGTTTTTGCCTCCACTTGAGTGACCAAAAGTTGACTTGAGCGTGAAAAGCATGCTCCCAAAAGTTCACGTGTTTTACCAACCGCTCGAGCGACCGTCGAGCATAAAAATCACACAGCCTGTACTTTTACAGACCGCTCGAGCAAAAGAAGGTGCGCTCAAGTGACCACCCACATTTTGCATGTCCGCTCAAGCGAAGGAAGTTGTACTCGAGTGGGACCCCTATTTTCAGCAAGTTTTGCTAAATGTGTTCAAGTGCATTTTAGCATTCTCAATGCATCATAGGCATTCCTAGGCCAAGATTAAGACATAATAATAAGGATAATAAGTAAAAACACGCCAAGATAAAAAAAGATTAAGTTAATGATTCCGGGTGTGTAATTCAGTACGTGTTCGTTCTGTACTGTGTAGGTCACGGGCCACAAGACATCTGATTTGCCTACTCTGTCTGTTCTCTTTGGAGCTAACTATGAGTAATAACTTAGTAAAGCTCTGTTCAACTTTATTTATTTTCTGTATATGGAATAAGACCTGTTTTATGAAATGTTATGTTTTGTATAATAAATGATTGTCCAGGTTCTGAAAAGCACTCATGGCAACAATTCTGTGGTTCAAATATGTTATATATTCCCGGTACTAGAGGTTTCTTTATAGAACTGACAAGTTATCCGTTCCCAGTACTAGAGGTTCCTTTATGGAACTGATAAGTTATCCGTTCCCAGCACTGGAGGCTCCTTTATGGAACTGACAAGTTAATCATTCCCAGTACCAGAGGTTCCTTTATGGAACTGATAAATATGACCCGTAATGCTCTGTATATGATCTGTTAGCACTATTGAATGTACCAAGTTTACTTAAGCATGAAGAATGTGAATATGAATCTGTATTTGATCTGATTTCTATTATGCTTGAACAAGAATATAAATATGAATCTGTTTTTCGAATCTAGTAGGGGATATCATTCATTTAAACCCTTTACTCTGTTATTATTCACTGGGTTTTCGCTCACTATTTATATTATGTATGTAGGTGAGCAAGCGCGTGACCAGGCCTAAGCTGCTGCTTGGAAAGTTTTGGGATCAACCAGCTACCGTGCCTCCCGAGGAGGTTCCCGTTTATAGAAGTCGAGTTTTGTGGACCATGTCAAGAGTTATTTTGTGTATCATGTTAAGAACGTTTATGTTTTGTCCTGTTTTGTTTATCTGTATACTGGGCTAAGTCCCTTTTGATGATACTTGCACGATGTTGCGAGACTTATGTGGAGTTGACATCTTATGTGTACATGTTATAAGGTTACAAATTTCTATCCCATGTATGTCTACATAGCTCTATAGACTATGTATATTTTGTATATTGCTTCTGCAGCCCCTAATTATACATTATTCCGTTTAGAGGCCTTTGGTAATTCAAGGATTACTAGCCGGTTATAACGCTAAACCTATAGGGGTGGGTTTGGGTCGTGACAACTACCTTCACCCTTTATCTTCATATTTTCTATAACCCCGACCAGTTACCACCGTAGCCCCTCCATTCCTTACTTTCGTAACCTCTCTTCCACCTCAATCTCTCTCTTAATCTGCAGCCCCATCCTTTTCTAACCTTTCACTCTTACCCTTCCTCCATCGTAACCCCACCTTAAGCCCCTTTTCATGACCGCAACCCCTGCTCCACCCTATACTTCTCACTACTTAACCCATATCACCAGCAACCTCTAACCCCGATCTCAAGTGCTCGAACGACTTCTGATAACCAAATCTCGCCATCGAGTGACCTTCGATAACCATATCACGACTCTCTCTCTCTCTCTTTCTCTCTCTTAGGGTTTCGATTTTATGGAAGGCAACAGAGAGTATGGGAAAGGTATCGATGGTTGTATATGGTGAAGATGGAGTGGCCATATGGAATGGATGCAAAGAGGTGGAGGTGTGGAGTTGTAGTGGCGGAAGAGGGGTCGAGAAGGGATTGAATGTGGGGTGTAGTAGTGGGACAAGGGTTGCAATAGTGGAAGAAGGATTGAAAATGATGGCCAGAGGCGTTGGTGGTTATCCAAAGTTGAAGAAGAGAGGTAGGGGGAGAGCTTTAAAAGGTTTGGGGCTAGAGATCAGAGGAAGGGCTATGGTCCTCTGAGGAGGGGTGAAAGTGGTCAGGTAGTAATGGTGGTGGCGTGTAGTGCTGGGACTTTGAGGTGATGCTAGCACTTGCTTGGCCGACGTTAAGAGGAAGGAAGAGAAAAGAAAATGGGAAGGATAATTTTGAAATTTGACAAAAATTCCCACCTTTTTTCCAATTATTTTTTTTACTTTCATTTCTACTATTCTTACTTTTTTTTTTGTTCCGTCAAATTGAAATTCTTTTGACTTGTCATTTTTCTACAATTTTCCATTTTTCTATACCTCTCGTTATAGCTAATAATTCTTTCTCCATTGCAGGATGATTACATTCAGCTTGATTAAAGTGAATGGAATCTTGCAAATGTCATAAATTGATAGGACCACATCAGGTCAACCTTATTTTTATGTCAGCTTTATCTTTTTAGCCTTATCTTTAATAATTGTACTGTTAAAATAATTTTGAAGTCCGTATTTCAAATCTGAACTCATGATGTAAATTTTTGTATTATATTAAGTTAGTTTGAATTTTGAGTTTGCAGTCCAAAAGTGCCTATATAAAGAGCCTTCCGCTGTAAGTAATGGACATAGATTCCTCAGAGTATTCTTGAGCTAAAAAAGAAGTCTGAACCTCAAGTCTTCTTAAAGAAAATAATGATTTAGCAATTTAAACAGCTTATAGACACCCTTACCTTGTAAGTTTATGTAGTAATATAAATCTTTTTCTTGTCTGGTGTGTGAAGTCTATATGTTATTATATTAAGAGTTTTCTATTAAGTCACCTAAACTTCCTAGTATAATAGTATCTAGAGTTACGATTTGAGTTAGGAAACAAAACAGATCTGTACTGAATGTAATTTAAGAAAGGAAAAGTTGAGGTTAGTAACCTCTAGAAACTGGAAGTTTGCCAACGTCAGAACCCTGTGCCAACTACGTTCAAGTAATGGTCAAGTCCTTTATATATTGTTCATATCTTAAAAGCATAGTAGGCCTAAAACTAAACATCTTAAAATATAATAATAAACAAAGTTATTATTAATATTACAAATCAGTAATATTGGCTCAATATTATAAAGGGTCCTTTTTTCTAGGGATTTTTATTGATAAGTCCAATTTAGAAGTGTTTTAACCCAAGAAGTCTATGAAGGAATTTTTTAACCCATTTAGTCCCATATATGTATAGTTTTATTCCATAAAGTCCATTTTCTTGATTTACACTATTTTCTTGGACACTTATACCCTTATATTCAATTTTGATACCCTTATAAATATTTTTTGAACGATTAGCAATTTAATGATGTGAACATTCATATTTTAAAATTCACATTAGTAGGAATGTAAAATTGGCCCGTGGACGGCCCAAAACCCGCCAGGGAGCCGGGACGGGCCCGGCCCGTTGACAATGTGAATATTCACATTGACATGTTAACATTCACATTAATAAGAGTGTAAAATTGGCCCGCGTCCCGTGGCGGCACGAAACCCGCTCGCGGCCCACGGGCGGCCCGGGACGGGCCCGGTCCGGCCTATTGACAATGTGAATATTCACATTGACATGTGAATATTCACATTGACATGTTAACATTCACATTGATAGGAGTGTAAAATTAGCCTGCGCCTCGTGGCTGCCCGAAACCCGCCTACGGCCCGTGGGCGGCCCAGGGCGGGCTCGGCCCGGCCGGTTGACAATGTGAATATTCACATTAATATGTTAACATTCACATTGATAAGAGTATAAAATTGGTCTGTAGCCCAGGGCGGGCCCGACCCGGCCCGGCCCGTTGACAATGTGAATATTCACATTGACATGTTAACATTCGCATTAATAGGAGTGTAAAATTGGCTCCCGTCCCGTGGCGGCGCGAAACCCGCCCGCGGCCCATGGGTGACCTGGGGCGGGCCCGGTCCGGCCTGTTGACAATGTGAATATTCACATTGACATGTTAACCTTCACATTGATAAGAGTATAAAATTGGCCTGCGGCCCATGGGCGGCCAAAAGCCCGGCTCGTTAACAATGTGAATATTCA